AACCTTGAGACAAATGAAAATGAAAACACAACTTCACAAAATCTATGGGACACAGCCAAAGCAGTTATAAGAGGATATTGCAAGTATACAGGCCTACCTCAAGAACCAGGAAAAATCCCAAAAAAACAATTTAAATTTGCATGTAAAAAAACTAGAAAAAGAGAAACAAACAAAACAGAGTGGAAATAAATGACATACAAAATAGAAAACCTATAGAAAAGATTAATGGAACTAATAGCTGGTTCTTTAAATGGGTAAATTAAGTTGATAAGCCTCTAACAAAACTCATCATGCAGAAGAGAGAACACAAATAAGTACAATCTGAAATGAAAGAGATACCATGGAAATACAAAAGATCATTAAAGAATATTATGAACAATTATATGTCAACAAATTCGACAATCTAAAAAAACTGAATAAATTTTTAGAAACATACAATCTTCCAAGATTAAACTAGGAAAAAACAGAATCTCGGGCCGGCCGAGTGGCTCAGTTGGTTAAGAGCTCGCTCAAGAGTTTGAGCTCTGAGCAACAGCGGTTCGAGTCCAGCCCGAGCTGAGCAGCCGCTGAGCTGCCAACAGGTAGCAGGATGGCTCAGCTTAAAAAAAAAAAAAAGAAAAAAGAAAAAACAGAATCTGAACATACCAGTTACTAGCAATTAAATTGAAACAATAATTTAAAAACTCCCAACAAACAAAGGCTCAGGACCAGAAGGCTTCACAGGTGAATTCTACAAAATTTAAACATGAATTAGTAATTTTCCTTCTCTAAATCTCCCCAAAAAAACTGAAGATGCAGGAATGCTTCCCAACTCAATCTATGAAGCCAGCATTACGCTAACACCAAACCCAGAAAAAAACACTACAACAAAGAGAATTATAGGCCAATATCCCTGGTGAACTTAGATGCCAAAATTCTCAACAAAATACTAGCAAACCAAATTCAATAGTACATTAAACGGTTATACACCATGGTCAAATGGGATTTATATCATGAATGCAAGTGTTGTTCAACATGTGTAAAATATTTAATGTGATTCATCAAAACAATAAAACCAAGCATAAAAAACATATGGTTATCTCAATAGATAAAGAAAAGGCATTTGATAAAACTCAACGTCCATTTATGATAAAAACTCTCAACAATGTGGGAATACAAAGAACTTTCTTAACCTGATAAAGACTGTATATGGCAAGCCCACAGCTAGCATCATACTCAATAGTGAAAAGCTAAAAGCTTTTTCTCTAAGATGAGGAATGAGATAAGGGTGTTCACTCTCACCACTATTATTCAATATAATACTGGGAGTCTTAGCCACACAAATCAGACAACAAAAAGAAATAAAAGGCATTAAAATTGGAAAGAAAGAAGTGAAACTGTTACTATTTGCAGATGGCATGATATTATATATAGAAAACCCTGAAGAATCCAGGAAAAAGTTAATAGAATAAAAGAATTAATAAAGTAGTAGGAAACAAAATTAATACACATATATCTGTTATGTTTCTATATACTAATAATGAACAATAAAAAGAATAAATTAAGAAAAAACTCCCATTTATAAATTGCATCAAAAAGAATAAAATTCCTAGGAGTAAATTTAACCAAGGAGGTGAGACCTGTACTCTGAAAACTATGAGACATTGAGAAATGAAATTGAAGAGGACACAAATAAATGGAAGGATTGAAGGTACTCATGCATCAAAAGGATTAATATTGTTAAAATAACCATACTGCTCAAAGTAATCTTACAGATTCAACATAATTCCGATCAAATTACCAATGTCATTCTTCTCAGAATTAAAACAAATAATCCTAAAATTTATATATAACTACAAAAGGCCTCAAATAGCCAAAGCAATCTTGAAAAAGAACAAAATTGGAGGTATGACACTCCTCCCCAATCTCAAACTATACTACAAGGCTATAATAAACAAAACACTATGGTACTGGCACAAAAACAGACAAATAGATCAATGGAACAGAATAGAGAGCCCAGAAATAAACCCATGCCTATATGGTCAATTAATCTTTGACAAAAGAGGCAAGAGTATACAATGCAGTAAAGACATTCTCTTCAGTGACTGGTGTTGGGAAAGCAGAACAGATACATGCAAAAAAAAATGAAACTAGACCACCTTATTACACCATATACAAGAATAAACTCAAAATGGGTTAAAGGCTTAAATGGAAGACCTAAAACCATAAAAATCCTAGAAGAAAACATAGGAAGTAAACTATTTTACATCAGTCTGAGTAATATATTTTTGAATACATCCCCTTAAGCAAGGGAAACAAAAGCAAAAATAAAGAAATGGGACTTCATAAAACAAAAATCCTCTGTAAAGTAAAGGAAATTTTCAACAAAACAGAAGGATAATCTACTGAATGGGAGAACATATTTGCAAATGATATATCTGATAAGGGGTTGATATACAAAATATAAAAAAAATCATACAACTCAATAAAAAATTAACAATCTGATCGAAAAATGAGTAGAGGACATGAAAAGACATTTCTACAAAGCAGACATACAGATGGCCAACAGACATATGAAAAGATGTTCAATATCACTAATCATCAGGGAAATGCAAATCATAACCACAATTAGATATTGCCTCACACCAGTCAGAATGCCTATTATCAAAAAGTCAACAAATAACATGTGTTGGTGAGGATGTGGAGAAAAAGGAACCCTTGTGCATTGCTGGGACTGTGAACCAGTGCAGCCCCTATGGAAAACAGTATCAAGACTCTTCAAAAAGCTAAAATTAGATATACCGTATGACCCAGCAATTCCACTTCTGGGTTTTTTTCCAAAGAAAATGAGAACACTAATTTGAAAAGATATATGCATATGCAACTGTATGTTTATTGCAGCATTATTTACAATAGCCAAGATATGGAAACAACTTAGATGTCTATCAATAGATGAATAGATAAAAATGTTTTACACACACACACACACACACACACACACATGCACACACACACACACACAATGGAATATTATGCAGCAATAAAAAATAAAATCTTGCTATTTGTGACAACAAGAATGGATCTAGAGTGTATTACGCTAAGTGAAATAAGTCAGGCAGAGCAAGACAAATACCATATGGTTTCACTTATATGTGGAATCTAAAAAGAAAACAAACCAAACAAGCAAATATTGCAAAACAAAAACAGCTGATAGAAACAGAGACCAAAGGAATGGTTACCAGAAAGGAGGGGATGGGGAGATGGATGTAAAGGGCAAAGGCAATATACTCAATAATATTGTGATAATTATGCATGGTAACAGATGATTAGTTGGGTGATCACATTGTAAGGTATTAAAATGTCAAGTCACTATATTGTATACCTGAAAACTAATGTAACCCATATAATATTGTATATACACTATACCTAAATTTAAAAAAAATTAATTCAGATGCCAAGGCCTCACTCCCAGAGATTCTGTATTTTAAGAGGCCAGCTGTCAGAATGCAATCCAGACCTGGTAGGGTCTTGTACATACCAAGGCTTATTATTCAGTGTCTCCTATTGGGACAGCAGCATGACATCTAGGGGTGAGGGTTGGGGTAGTGGAGATGCAAATATTTCAAAGGTAAATTCAGGGAGGTTAGCATCTCTAAGAAGAGCCTTCATGTTTCTGATTTGAATGAAACCTCAGGATCTTCACACTCACTTCCAAATCTGTTTGGAGAGCTCAGACCAACAAAAAAAGGCTTCAAATGTCATCCCAGCTTGAGAGGAGGATTAAGAGTTGGGGAGCATAAAACGAGAGACAAACTGTTTGCTCTAGCATTCCAGGACCTCCTAAGTTTTATGTCATTATTTCTGTCTCAACCTATCTCCCTGTCATCACCCTGGTCTCCTGGCAGGCTGGTCCCTGTGTCATAAACTTCCCTGGATGATGGATGATATCTAGTTATTGTATCATTGCCTTTTCACCACTAGTATCTCCTCCTCCCCTTGGATTTATCATAGAGCAACTAACGTTGTTCCATCAGGGATAATACAGTGACAATAACCCACCTTTACTTTTGTATGACAGCATACAGCTTATAAAATATTTTATATATTTTATGCAATGCCTACTAAGTGTAAGACATTGGATTAAAGTGTTTTATATACATTATCTCTAATCCTTATGAAAATCCTGAATTTTACAGAGGAGGAGACTGAGAATCAGAGATTAGTGACTTGTCCAAGTTCCCTCAGTTAAAAGCAGTGAAATCAGGACTAGAATCCAGGTTTACTAGCCTAGATCTGTTTCCACTTCATCCGAATCCTTCTTACATCCCCTAGACCAGCTTAACCTGTGTCTTTGAAAGCCAATGAGGACTGTGGATTGGAAGTTAGGTCTTCTTCAGGGCCAAGCTTGCTGCCTTATAGAGATTTGGGCTGTCATTTAATGTATAAAGAAGTGAAGACATGGCTCAGAGAGAGAATGGGTATGTAGGAAGAGAAAGAAAACAGGCTTCTTAAAGGTACCCTCTGTATTCTCAATGAGGAAATTATAATCCAAAAGGAGTAATCACACAGGTCTAGCACCATAGCCCCAAGCCACAGAAGTTCTGGGAAGGAGGTCAAAATCTTAAGAGCCCTCCCAGTCAGCTGGAGGTAGAGGGAGTTAAAGCCAAGCTTGCCTATAGCTCATCAGGGGCATCTGCCTCTCTGCCGCCCCTTTATTTCACACACAATTGGTAGCTACTCAAGTTGGAAACAAATTCATACTATTTTTCTTGTCTCCTGGGGTAAGAGATCAAAAACTTCACCTTTGTCATACATGTGGATATGAAGGCACAACTGGACTGTCATCAACAGAATTTGAAAAGCACAAGGCGTGTTCCTGTTCTACTGTCCTCCTCCTTCTCCCCTTTCCACTGAAAGGCACTCCACCTTATTCCAAGCTTACCTAGGGTTTCATGTATGTAGACATCCAGAAAAAATGCAAAATCCTTCAGTCCCAAAACAGGAGGCACTCACTCACTTACCTTGGACATACACATACACACTGGCCTTGCCATTAGGATCCTTGATGTCAGCAACATCCTTGTAGCTACATGTGAAGTAGCCAGTGTCGCCAGCTTCTGTGTGGAAGATGGTGAGCTGGTTGCAAGTAACAAGGGGATTATCAGAGCAGGGGTGCTCCAAGATGCGGGCCCGACTCCCAGTAGACCCAGTGCCCCAGGTCCAGGTAATGGCAGCCGATCCCCTGAAAACACAACACAAGAAAATATGCTGGTCAGGCATGGGATGGATAGTAAAGAAGTAATGTTGCTCCAGCTCCCAACCTGAGTTCTAAAGGAAAAATTATAACAGATAGCTCAGTTCCCTGAAAGAATTGGCACAGAGGATTAGAACACCTAACTGTGGGCATGAGGAGAATCTGAAAATTTGAGTTACATTTTTGTCCTTGTTTCTCTCTGTCTCCTGGTGTATCTCCTCCTCTACATAATCTTTATCCCCAGCCCAACTCTCTCCAACAATAGATGGGCTTTGTAGCGTTTGACAATAAATTTCTAAAGGCATAGGAATATATTGGGTTAAGTGATTTCTTAGGTTCTTTCTGGATTTGTTGTTTCCACTTATCAAATGAGAATACCAAGACTCAGGGAGGTAAAGGGCTTTGCCCAGAAAAGTTGCTGGCAGGACCCAAACTCAAAGTCATATATACTAGGTCCCAGTCTAGGTTTTTATTTTTATCTTTGAATTATACCAAACTGCCTCACTGAATTTCAAAGGCTTTTCTGGGAAATAAGCTCTGAAAAGACATGTGATTGGACTACCACTCCCTTCATTCAGTGGTGGGGAACCAGGGAAAAAGTTAAGTCAAAATTCATTGCATTTCTTCCAAACTCGGACAAAACAACTGGGCTCTATATCCGCATCTCACCAGCGATTATTTTCTCCTCTTCCCACTTCCTCGTAACAAAAAAAAAAATCTATGGCACAATAATTGAAAATAAAAAAAGGTAGGGAGGGCAAAAGAACCTGAATATTGAATTTCAGCATTACCGTTGCTTAGTTATGTCACCTTGGCCAGTTAATTAAGCTTTCTAGGTCTCAGGCTTCTCATCTGTAAAAACAAGGACTATGATCCTTCTTTTCCAGAATGCTGTTAAGATTCACTGAGAGACCTTATGTAAAAAAGTTTTGCAAATGCAAGCCCTCAGCTTGTGTGGAAGGCAGTGGAAGTTTGGGGGCAGGATGGAGCCAGACTTGACTCCTGCTCTCATGTCAAAGACAGATACCCTTCCCCACATCATCTCCAACATTCATACATTTGCTAGGCCACTGTTCATCATGACTCATAAATTCACTGAAGTGAACAGAAGGTAAACCATAAAGTGGTGTGGAGGGTCATTGCTTGCCATGAGCACTTTCTTTAAAGGCAATGTATTTCCAATCATTTTGAAAAGATAATATGTTACCATGATTGTGGTTAAGACTGTTAAAAAAATAAAAGAGGAGGGTTTATAGAAAGCAAGACCAGGAGGAGAATCAGGTAGAGAACAACAGTGCAGGTCCTGCCCACACCCCGCACCCCCCATCCTTTGCCTTCCATCTCCTGCACCCTGAAGTTAGAACCAGGTTTTGTCTCTGTAAGTGAGAAGGAAATGAGTCCAAGTCATAATTCTTCAGCCTGACTCCAGAGTCCTCCACTGGCTTTTCACTGCCTACCACTGGAGTCTCTGTTCCTACTTGAACGCTGACCTCTTCAGGGTATGTCCAACCTCAATATGGAGTCTTCAAATAAGCTGTGTGGCCTCAAAGTCAGACAACGTAAGAGAAGGTGTGTCCTCTTACAGACTGATTTGTGTCCTCCACAAGTTCATATCTTGAAGCACTTACCCCAGTACCTCAGAATGTGATTATATATGGATATAGAGCCTTGAATGAAAGAGGTAATTAAGTTAAAATGATGCCTTTAGGGTGGGCCTTAATCCAGTCTGATGACTGTCCTTATAAGAGGAGGAGATCTGGACACACAGAGAGATACCAGGGATATGTGTACACAAAGACCATGAGAGGACACAGTGAGAAGGCAGTCATCTGCAATCCAAAGGGAGAGACCTAATGAGAAACAAAGTTTCTTGACATTTTTATCTTGGACTTCTAGCCTCCAGGACTATGAAAAAATAAACTTCTGATGTTCAAGTCACCCAGTATTGGGTACTTCACTGTGGCAGCCCTAGTAAACTAAAATACATTCTGTACTGTTTTCAGCTGCCTTTTGAAAGTCTATTGTTTTTGTTGGGCTTTGAATTCCATGAGAATTTGTTTCTAGAATTCCCATTTCCTGACCCCTGCTTGCCTCGCCTGCCTGGAGTCTCATACCTACCCATTAAAGCCAACAACTGATACTGTTCTTCCAATTTTCACTCCTAGATATGTAGTATCCCTAACTGATCTGGGCAATGTCCCAGTCCAACCCAACCTGGCCTGTAAAGTCCTCAGGATTATCCCACATGGTTTGCTCTGACCCCAGACAAAAGCAAGTACGCAAGCAGACAGCATCTTGAGTTCAGGGGTAGCCAAAATGGTTCCTTTTTTTAAAAAAATTAAAGTATAGTTGACATAAAATACTATATTAGTTTCAGGTGTATGACATAGCGATTCAACATTTACTGTATTTTGGCATGTATAATGCACTCTCGTGTATAATGTGCATCCATGTTTTTGGCCCAAACTTTCAGGGGAAAACAAATCTTTTGTTTTAATTTTTTAATTCAAATTTTTATTTGTTTACATTTAAGTACTTGTTTTTTGTATTATAAAGGAATTTTAGCATTTATTTATTTTTTTTTAAGATTTTTTTTTATTGGGGAATTGGGGGGATGGGTACAGTGCTGGGGAATTGGGGGAAGGGGAACAGACAAGTTGCTGTGGTTTTGTTCTTCAATCTAGTTGTGTAGGACGTTGCTTCACTGGCCCAAGTTGGCACCATCATTGCACTCTTCCCGGGTGAGATCAGTTGCCGGCTTCTGGACGGCCGCTCACTGCGGCTGCTGGCCGCTCACGCTGGCTGCTGGCTACACACGGTAGCCCATGGCAACCCACTGCCACAGGGGCTGCAGCCTATGCCGTCGCCGGCAACTCACAGCAGCCCAGCTCCAGGTTGAGCTGTTGTTCAGCATCTTAGCTGTGGAGGGCAGTGTCACTGGCCCTCATATGTGGGATCCGAACCGGGGCCCTCTGGCATCCCAAGCCAGTTCTTAACCATTGTGCCACTCGGCCGGCCCAGCATTTATTTTCTAACATATTATGGTAGAAGAAATTTTATGTAACAAATAATTACACAACACAAGAAAAGATACAAGGTACAAGACATTTTATGTACCAGTAACAAATTTATAATATTTACACATCACAGAAGGCCAAGAACTCTTCATCATTGCAAGTTCATCCTAAGTCCAACAAAACCAATGATCGTATTCCAGGGTATTATTTTGCATATGGATATCATTATTGATTTCTAGAGTTATGCTTTTAAATCATAAGCATAAATAAAAGAATTAAAAACATACAGAATTAGTACTACCCATATATAATGTGCATCTTTATTTTTCCCTCACAAATTTGGGCAAAAAAGTGTGTATTATACATGGCAAAATATGGCATATTCCTTATGATGTGATCACTACAATAAGTCTAGTAAACATTTGTCACCATAAAAAGTTATAATAATATTGACTCTTTCCTATGTTGTACATTATATCCCTGTGAATTTATCTTTTTTAATAACTGGAGGTTTGTACCTCTTATTCTCCTTCACTTTTCACCTATCCCCTCACCCACTCAGGCAACCATCAGTTTGTTCTCTATATCTAGGAGTCTGTTTCTGTTTTGTTTCATTTGATTGTTTGTTTTGTCTTCTTAGATTCCACACATAAGTGAAATCATATGGTATTTTGGTATTTGTCTTTCTCTGTGTGACTTATTTGACTTAGCATAATACCATATATTTCCACTCATGTTGTTGCAAATGGCAAGATTTCATTTATTTTTATGGCTGAGCAATATTCATATATATATATATATATATATATATATACACACACACATACATATATGAATATATATATACACACACATATATATACATATATTAATATATATATATATATATACACACACATATATACATATATGAATGAATATATATATATTTTTTATATAAATATACCCAGTCTTTATCCATTCATCTATCAATGGAAACCTAGGTTGCTTCCATATCTTGACTATGGTAAATAATGCTGCAATGAACATAGGGGTTCATATATCTATAAAAATTAGTGTTCCTTACAGCTGAAACTAATTCTAAAAAATGTGTATTTCATAATAAAAAATAATTTAACAAAAATGAGTGCTCTTGTTTTCTTTAGATAAATATCCAGAAGGATTGTTGAGTCATATTATAGTTTTATTTTTAATTTTTTGAGAAACCTTCATACTGATTTCCATAGTGGCCGCACCAAGTTGCAGTCCTACCAACAGTGCACAAGGGTTCCCTTTTCTCCACATCCTCACCAACACTTCTTGTTTGTTGACTTTTTTTTTGAGTTCAGCATTTTGTATCATTTTAACTTTTTAAAATTCTTTTCAGGTGTACAAAACAATGTAATAGTTAGACATTTACACCCCTCACAAAGTAATAACCCCTCCTAATCTACTATCCCTCTGACATCGTATATGGCTGTTACAATTCCATTGACTGTATTCCCTAGGCTGTACTCCACATCCCATGACTATATATATAGATGCACGTGTTTGTGTGTGAGTGTGTGTGTGTGTGTGTGTGTGTGTGTGTGTGTGTGTGTGTTTACTCATAGTTGACATTCAATATTATTCAACTTCAGCTTCAGGTGTATAGCGCAGTTGTCAGGCATCTACACAGTCTATGAAGGGGTCTCCCTAATAAGTCCAGTGCCCATCTGGCACCTTACAAAATCTTTACATTATTGATTATAGCATTGGGTTGCAGAGGCGGTTTTGGGTTTTCAGAAGCTCAGAATTTGTTGACTTTTTGATAATAGCCATTGTGAAATGTGTGAGGTGGTATCTCATTGTGGTTTTGATTTGCATTTCCCTGATAGTGATGTTGAGCATTTTTTCATGTATCTGTTGACTGTTTGTATATCTTCTTGGGAGAAGTGTCTGTTCAGGTCCTCCGCCCATTGTTTTAAATTAAAGTATATTGGGGTGACAATT